GGGGTTATTCATAGGTGTTATATGTGCAGCAGCAGTATTTCTTATATGCTCACAGCAGCATGTTGTGGATGTATTGGCAGTAGCAAGTCTCGGTACTTGCTCTGCCGCAGCAGTATAGCACATCTATTCCGCCAAGACCAAATACATTAACATTGTCTTGTACATTGTCAATCCCTCCGAGAGTTGTCATGACAGAAGTATATATATCTCACAATTGGGACTTTTCTTCTCTGAATTGTGAGTTTATATCTCTATATTTTGGGAGATAAAGTCACAATCAAGTTGTTTATATTTCTATTCTGTGGCGGAAAAAATCTTGCATAGGTTTGGACTGAGATGAGGTAAATGATGGCCAAATTTTCATTTTTAGGGGAATTATTGCTTTAACTCCTTTTCTTCATGTTGTCCATCAACACAAGTTTTACTCCGTGTCGAGTTTGTTTAATGTTTGTTTGCTTGAATGATTTACATCTGACTGAACGCCTCCTGGGTTCTGCTTTGTATATTTATCAAACACCACGAATATTTTTCGGTGGCGTTACCATTGATGGGCTTCATGAGGATTATGGGGCAGATGCCAGTCTGACCATGCCATGAAAAGGCATTTGATTTTGGCCTTAATTATTAACTGTAGACTTATTGAATAAGATGTACATATATAAACTGAAACATATTTCAAGTTAAAAGAAAAAAATTAAACTTGAAATGTTTTAAAGCCTTTAAATAACCAGTAATACCATTTAAGTGTGTTATATATCTGCAAATCCAGAATTCCCTTTTGATCCCTGAAAGAGGTTTTTGACCGGTTATCTTAATGTTTTTGCTGGATGAAAGCCATTTATTGAGCTTTGGCTTGAGTGGAATGAAGGTATCTATCATATTCTGACATTCACACTGCACTTTCAGTGTTTCAAAGAAGCTTGACTTAAAGAAATGGTAGATATGAATCATAATTTTCCAGAATGTCGTTAAATGTGCCACACACCGCATTCCATTCATAAATATGGGACTGTACAGGGTGATATTGTCCACCCTCTCACCGTTAAATACTGAAATAGTCTGTCATCTTTATGAAGATGTTGCCTTATATAATTTATAGAGTGTACGGTCACCATTTAATCGACTGTAGTTTGTTGTCATCTCTCTTTTGTACTGCTGGCATTGATGTTTGAGGTTACACTTTCTTAGAGTTGTGTTTTTCTTTTCTTCTTCTTCTTTTTTTTTTATTTTTAATGAGACGACATTCCCTGAAATATTAGTTGACAAGGGAAAATGCTCTGCCCGGCGTGTAGTACAACAGTCGACCTAACTGTCAATGAACATGAAATAAAGGATATATATTATAAAAAAGGACATTTTCACTTGTTTTATTTTCAAAATATCCACTTTGTTACTGCTGAAAAATATGTGACCCTGGAGCACAAAACCAGTCTTAAGTCGCTGGGGTATATTTGTAGCAATAGCCAACAATACATTGTATGGGTCAAAATTATTCATTTTTCTTTTATGCCAAAAATCATTAGGATATTAAGTAAAGATCATGTTCCATGAAGACATTGTGTAAATTTCCTACCGTAAATATATAAAAACTTCATTTTTGATTAGTAATATGCATTGCTAAGAACTTCATT